GTGTTAGGGGTCTTCGGTGGCGTAGATGGGCTGAGAGTCGTTGTGACAGTTGGGGCTTCGGCGATAGCAGGCCTCGTGGTTGGGGCTTCGGTGCTAGCAGGCCTCGTGGTTGGGGCTTCGGCGATAGCAGGCCTCGTGCTTGGGGCTTCGGCGATAGCAGGCCTCGTGGTTGGGGCTTCGGTGATAGCAGGCCTCGTGGTTGAGGCTTCGGTGCTAGCAGGCTCCGTGGTTGGGGCTTCGGTGCTAGCAGGCCTCGGGGCTTCGGCAAGAGCAGGATTCGTGGTTGGGGCTTGGGGGATAGCGGGCCTCGGTGCTGGGGCTTCGGTGGTAGCAAGCGTCGTGGTTCGGGCTTCGGGGATAGCAGGGTCCAGGGTGGTTGGGGCCCCTGAAGCTTCGGATGCACTGGCGTCTCCCTCGTAGGCGTCCTCATCATCCTCGTCCTCGGAAGCCTTCCAAGGGGAAGCTTTCCTATAGACACAGGAGTACTATAACCCAGGATTATAAAGGAGGGAACCCCATACCCAAAAACTGAAATAAGGGTCTTCTCCGGGTCCTATAGTTTCTAGCCTCGGGATTGCTTTGCGTTTAAAACGTTGTGCTTAAATTTTGTGAGAGCTTTGGAGCACAGGTTTATTAGTCCCCCGCCTCTTTCGCAGATTTCAACAAGAGCCGGGCGTTGACGGCGTTGACCACCTCCTGGCACAATACTGTGGGAAGGTCTGCACTAAATTATACTAGATGATTTTTTGCTTCTTATTGCGGCTTGATTTGTCTATATATAAGCCCTCATCCACTGGGACCCGGCCTGAAGCAGTGGGTCCAGAGCCAGACAGAGTTCTTGGAAGATCGGGTCCTAAGATTGTACACGCTTCCAAAGTTTCAAAAAGAACTGCGCGAAAAAGTACAAAAACAAAGGCCAATATCTTGCTGGTCTAAAACATGGTTCAATGCTTACTTCTTCGCGTCGGCACTTAGCTTTGATAAAGGAGAGCAGCTTCCGAATATGAATACTGTCGCCAGCGATGCTCGCTTGCACGTCCGCCCCCACCCGCTTGTTAGTAGCATAAAGAGCCACCATCTCACTTCGGAGGTCTCCAACCGCAGGCAGCTTCCTCTCACACTCCGCCATTGTGGAGAGCAGAGGCAGCAGCAAGGCCTTGTTCAGGGTGCAGACGTAGTTGTCGCACAAGAGCCCTGACTTCTCGTGCATCACCGGGCCCCCTCCTCTCAACCGGGCCCTCAACTCAGCATCTGCATCCCATGCCGCGTGGATGCCCTCTATGCTGCACCCCGGATCCAGGGATTCCCCCTTCCACTCGGCACTCTTGCTCTTACGGCTTGACTTCGGTGCCATGGCACCGAAAGCAAAGGCCCCTCACCCCTCAATCTACCAAATCCAACCAGCTTGAACCTGCAAGTACATAATAAGCAGACCATGCGCATCCCTGCAAGGCGCTGCTGATCGCTTGGATCTGAGCTCTTGGCGGAAAAGTGCCGGTGCCATCAGGGAAAGCTGGCAGTTGGCCATTTCGGTGTGTGACAAAATGCTAGAGCATTGGGATTTCGGTGTGTGAAAACTTGTTATAGAGCATTGGGTGCTCCTTAGATGGGGCTTCGGATCTATTGTGCTGACGTGGCTCCCATGCGATCATGGAGCCAGCCTGAGCGGCGACATTCCTGAGGTTGGGCTTTGCTTGGGGGTAGGGGCGGGGGTTGTATAGCGGGGTGAGGCTTCTATAGAGCATATACAAAGATGGTCTTGTTCTGCTATAAAACTGGTCCTCATACCCTTTATCACCTAAACCCGAGGTTTGTTAATTGAACACGGGGTTTGCTTAACAACGGGCCCTATACACGGGTTCTTGACTTAGACCCTACATTTTTATAGGGTTTGGGTTCTCTAGGTAAACCCTAAACCCTAAACCCTAAACCCTAAACCCTAAACCCTAAACCCTAAACCCTAAACCCTAAACCCTAAACCCTAAACCCTAAACCCTAAACCCTAAACCCTAAACCCTAAACCCTAGGCTGCGGCACTTGCGCCGGCCTCTGGCCCGGACCTGCCCTTCCACGGGGCGAAGACCACGCAGGGCTCTTCGAAGTGGTTCACGTGGAGCCATTTAGAATGAACAGGTGCCGAAGAGGGGGTTTAGGGTTTAGAGTTTAGGGTTTATAGGGTTTAAGTACGGTTTAGGGTTTAGGGTTTAGGGTTTAGGGTTTAGGGTTTAGGGTTTAGGGTTTAGGGTTTAGGGTTTAGGGTTTAGGGTTTAGGGTTTCTTTTACTTCCTGGTTCTTGTAGGGAATGATGGAGTTAGGCACGCTATATAATCCCTTAAATTTAAACGGAGAATATCGGGGGATACAAGGTTCCTTATTCCGACATTCCCCACTAAGCACCAATCAGTTTAGGGAATTTAAAGAAAGTATCCATAAGGGACCTTAATGGGGGTTCATGGCTGTAATTTGAGGTCGAGTCACCTGCAGCAGCAGTGCCAGATAGAGTGGCCCAATATAGAGTAGAACAGGCAAGCGGACAAGCTGCCCGCATGTAGAACCCTAAACCCGAAACCCTACACCCTAAACCCTAAACCCTGAACCCTAAACCCTAAACCCCAAGCCCTTAACCCTAAGCCCTAAATTTAAGAGCCTCCGGCTCAAGCCGCCGACCCCGCTGGAGCATAGTTGAAAGGTTTAAACGCGTTCGTTGGGTCACAGGATGCCAAAGTTGGTGGGGGGGGGTAGGGGGGTAAGGGGGGGGGGGGGGGGGGGGGGGGGGGGGGGGGGGTGTGCCTTGGACGCTTAACGTCTATTCTGCGCGTGCTCTTTGTTTTCTTGGATTCTTCCCGAAACAAATTCTGAAATTGGGTTCTCGTTTGGAGGAGTTTTGACGTGAGGCCGCGGGGACGACACGGTCAAGGGAGAGGGTTCGGAACATTTTGCTGGGAGAGGGCGTGGGGGGAGCGTGACATTCGGTTGATGGGCAGGGGAGTGGGGACACGTGGATGCCTCCGTGCCCTCCGCGTTTGCAAGCCCTCCGCGCCCTCCGCACCCTCCGCGCCCTCCGCGCCCTCCGCGACCTCGCGCCCTCCGCGCCCTCCGCGCCCTCCGCGCCCTCCGCGCGCTCCGCGCTCTCCGCACCCTCCGCGACCTCCGCCCCTTCCGCGCCCTTCCCGCCCTCCGCACCCTTCCCGCCCTCCGCGCGCTCCCCGCCCTCCGCGCCCTCCGCGCCCTCCGCGCGCTCCACGCGCTCCACGCCCTCCGCGCCCTCCGCGCCCTCCGCGCCCTCCGCGCCCTCCGTGCGCTCCGCACCTTCCGCGCCCTCCGTGCCCTCCGCGCCCTCCGCGCCTTCCGCGCCCTCCGCGCCCTCCGCGCCCTTCGCGCGCTCCGCGCCCTCCGCACCCTCCGCGCCTTTCTCGTCCAGGACACAGTGTGCTGATGCTAAGGGCGCATTGCGTCTATTCTGCGGGTGCGTTGCGTCTATTCTGCGGGTGTTTCCTTTGTAAAGTATTTGTTTACAAGTCACGCACGTGCAGCATAGCCTTTAAGTGTCCATCTTACGGGGGGGTGGGTGGGGGGGGGGGGGGGGGGAGGGGGGGGGGGGGGGTGGGGGGTGGGGGGGGGGTGGGGCGGGGGTTGGGGGGTTAGGTTGGGGGTAGGGGGGGGGTAAGGGGGGGGGTAGGGGGGGGGGCGGGTGTGGGGGGGGGGTAGGAGGGGGGGGGTTGGGTGGTTTTCCGCAAAGGGCCCCTATGTCCTGTGCGAAACCGCCTATGGTCCGTGAGTTTATGCCGTGTGGGTGGCCTGGCCCTCCATGGAAAAGCTGCCCGGGACCCCCCCCTACCCCCCCCCCCCCCTCCCCCGCGTTTTTGGGGGGGGGTAAGGAGGGAGAGAGGGAGGTTCCCATCCAACACGCCGCCAGGGTCGGCGGACCCTAAACCCTAGTTTCCCTAGTTTCCCTAATCCCTAAACTCTAAACCCTAAACCCTAAACCCAAGACCCAAAACCCTAAGCAGGCTCATGGTCTACAACGGCCACATCTGGCACTCGTCCTTTTACCCCTTGGCGGCTCTGTCCCGGCTGCTGGTGCGCAGTCCTCTGGAGGGCCGCCTCATGCTGCAGCATGGCCTGAAACTTTGACACAGTTGGGTACCATTGTACATTTTTAAGCTGTAAGGAATAAACATCCGAATTTTTAATATTATCCCAACCATGAACGAGGAAAGTACCGGAGCTGCAGTCAGCTTTTCGCACCTTTCAGGACATCATGGATGCAGAGAAGGAGAAAAAGCCGACCGTCGCTTGCTGATCCCCCTGGATTGCCGTAATATATATATATATACATATATACATATATATACATATATATATATATATAGGGCACCTATATCCTAAACCCTAAACCCTATACCTACGTGTGTGTGTGTGTGTGTATATCTATATATGTTTGATTTATAGGCACCTAAATCCCTCATCCCCTACTCAGAATCAGTCGGTTTTGCGTGTTTGGGATGTCCACCACTCTTCCTCTGCGGATCGAGCCATACGCAGCCAAGGCCCTGGCAGCGAAACCCTCACCCTGGCCAGTTTAGGGTTTAAGGTTTAGGGTTTAGGGTTGAGGGTGTAGGGTTTAGGGTTTAGGGTTTAGGGTTGCGCTCACACATAAACTACACATCCCGACTGAGTCAGTCCTAGAGCCCTAGACCCCAAGCCCTATCAAACCTATAAGCCCTAATCTCTAAACCCTAAACCCTAAACCCTAAGCCCTAAGCCCTAAGCCCTAAACCCTAAACCCTAAACCCTAAACCCTAAACCCTAAACCCTAAACCCTACACTTAACTTCGTCCTTATAAGTCCTACCCCTAAACCCTAAGCCCTAAACTTGGCCTTTAAAAGACAAACCCTTTACATAAGCCCTACCCCTAAACCCTAAACCCTAAACCCTAAACCCTAAACCCTAAACCCTAAACCCTAAACCCTAAGCCTTTAACCCTAAACCCGAAAAGGAGGGCGAGATGGAGAGCCGCGCCTCGCAGACGGAGCCGCTGGAGTCGACAGGGACCGGTGCTTTTTGGGTGTTAGAGGGCTTTTAGGGTTTAGGGTTTAGGGTTTGGGGTTTAGGGTTAGGGTTTAGGGTTTAGGGTTCAGGGTTCAGGGGGTTTAGAGGGTTTAGAGGGTTTAGAGGGTTTAGAGGGTTTAGAGGGTTTAGAGGGTTTAGAGGGTTTAGAGGGTTTAGAGGGTTTAGAGGGTTTAGAGGGTTTAGAGGGTTTAGAGGGTTTAGAGGGTTTAGAGGGCTTAGGGTTTAGGCTTTGTAGCGCGAAGGGTTTTAGGGATTTAGGGTTGGATTTGTGGTTTAAGGTGCTTCGGACTTCGAGGTTCCGGGCTCAAAAGGGTTCAGGTCTCAGAGTTGGTAGAGGGGTAGGAGGGGAGTCATCTAGGAACGGGTACCACTTGGGCACAGAAGGGTCGATGTGGGGTCCAGGGTTCAGAGTTAAAGGGGCCCCTGTTGTGTCTTTTTTGTGGTTTAGGGTTTAGGGTTTAGGGGTTAGGGTTTAGGGTTTAGGGGTTAGGGTTTAGTAGGGCTGTTTTTTGAAGAAGGGCATGGTGGAGGGCACCTTGCTTTAGATCAAAAACACAATCAAAATCATCGCAAGAAACAAATAAGCATGCTAACAGTACTATGGACAAACAAAACCACATGAAACCCTCAGGCCCGGACCACTAGAGAGGAGATCTACCCTCGCATTAGGGAAACCTATAATTAAGCACCCTCAACTTGGCCCTAAACCCTAAACCCTAAACCCTAAACCCTAAACCCTAAACCCTAAACCCTAAACCCTAGACCCTAGACCCTAGACCCTAAACCCTAAACCCTAAACCCTAAACCCTCCTAAATCCTGAGCCCTAAGCCCTGGTTCAGGCCCGTCTCTTCTGGGGCCGCGGAGGCCTTGGAAGCTGCCGAGGACGAGGAGAGCCCAGCCGCTGAGGCGGAGGCTGGTTTGGGGTTTAGGGTTTGGGGTTTTGGATTTAAGGTTTAGGGTTTGGGTTTTAGGGTTTGGGGTTTAGGGTTTAGGGCTAGTATGAAGCAGGGTGTATATTTCAATTATGGGTGAGCGTATATTGCTGAGTGGATATCTTGGGTGTCCTTTCGGGGATACAAATAATATCAACCCTACGTCAGGGTTTTGGGGTTTATGCAGGGCCAGGGTTTAGGAATTTCCACCGTTACTTCATGAGTGTAAGTGCTTGGATGGATGTTCTAAGCCCTAAACCCTAAACCCTAAACCCCGGAGCCCTAAACCCTAGTTTAAAGAGGGGCCCCCTTGCCATACTAGCTATGGTTACAGTAAAAACGCTGTGTAAGTAAACGGTTTGGCGGCACTAGGGTACCCTAAGCTTCTAATTTCCACTCACCCATGTAGGGATTTGACCTAGGGTAGTCTTGGTTTCTTAATTCGTTTCTTAACTTAAGGGAGTACGCTATACCACTAGACAAAAACCCATGTTCCACGTACTGTGAGGGGGGGGTCTGGCCTTCAGAAGCTGCTCCACGCGGTCTAAGTAAAACCCTGCGCCCAGGGATGAAAACCTCTAGAATGTGACTCCCGCGCGTTTTTGGGGTAGGGTCAGGCCAGAAGCGCGGGGGAGTTACGTTTTGGAGCTTTTCAGGGCTGAAAATTTTGGAGAGCTTTGTAGGCGCGATTTTAAGAAAGTAGCACCCCCAACACTAGGGTACCCTAGGTTTCTTAGCTAAACGGCAACCGCAAATCGCCCAAAATCCCTGGATCTAGGGTCTTAGTTTCTTATACAATGGTTTCTTATACAGTGGTTTTACTGTATACGGGATTTATAACCGAAGTTAGGATCTGTATGACACAATTTAGGGCCCTTATCACTCTAACCCTAAACCCTCAACACCAAACCCCAAATCCCAAAGTCCTAAACCCTAAACCCTAAACCCTAAACCCCATAAACCCTCAACTAAACCCTAAACTACTCACAACTGGGAAGCCCCTCCTTGTAGGAGAGGGATGTTTGGTTGGAGGGTTTTGGGGTTTCAGCTTCTTTTTGAGCTTTCAGGCCCAGAGTCGCCAAATGATGGTTTAGGGTTTAGGGTTTAGGGTTTAGGGTTTAGGGTGTAGGGTTTAAGGTTTAGGGTTTAGGTTACTACAGAGCAGACTACTTTTGCTTAGTTGCTGAGTAGGCAACCTTGAACCCGCTTCTTCTTCTTCTTCTTCTTCTTCTTCTTCTTCTTCTTCTTCTTCTTCTTCTTCTTCTTCCTCTCCTTCTTCTTCGTCTTCTTCCTCTTCTTCGGGAGATCAGGGTGTTTACGAAAACAGGGAACCCCTACCAGGTACCCCTTCTTTTGGGAAACCCCCATAAGAATAACAGAACAAAAAGGCGCAGCCATCCGTGTCTTGGGCCAGTGTTGGGGGTGTGGTGCTTTATCTCCGAAACCCCAAACCCTAAACCTTAAACTCCAAATCCTAATTTTGAACCCGAAACCCTATAAGTTCCAAAACACTTAACCCCAAGTCCGAATTGAACCCGAAACCCCTATAAGTTCCAAAACGCTTAACCCCAAGTCCCAATCCCTGCCTCAACCCCAAAGCCAGACCCGCGGGATTTGAGTTGAGGATCTCGGGCTTTGGGACTTGATTTGGGGTAGAATCCTGAACCTTGAGCCCCGAAGACTTCTTTTAGGGTTTAGGGTTTAGGGTTTAGGGTTTAGGGTTTGGGGTTTAGGGTTTAGGGTTTAGGGGAAGGTTCCCTAAACCCTAAACCCTCTAAACCCTCTAAACCCTCTAAACCCTCTAAACCCTAAACCCTAGGCACCAGTTTCTGATGAGGAGGAGTTTGCTTCAAGCCAGCACGAGGCCGACGTTTCAGAGGCGGCTTGGATGTCATTCCATGTGTTTTCCATGTCCTTATGCGAGTTTGAACCGTGGACCCCGGAGACTGCGGAAGATTTTTTGGAGCTTTCCCTGCAGGAACCAGCCCTTGGTGAGGAGGAGTTTGCTTCCAACCAGCCCGAGGCCGGACTTTTCATTGTAGGGTTCATGAGGAAGGGGGTTCATGGGGGGTAGGTACCAACTTTAGAGAAGCTTAGGGAGACTTAGGGAGTAGTGGGGAGTATTAGGGAACTTTGGGTTACGTAGCCCCCTTGAAGCCCCCCTCCCTTAAGAACCCTAGAATTTCAGTGCTGCATGGATGTCCTCCTCATGCTTTGACAAGAACCCCGATGACTTGAAAGGCTTCACACGCGCGAAGGAATGCTCCTAAAATCAAACGGGTTCACGATATCACGGGTACTCCTTGGGGGGGATCCTACTATTTGGTGGTATAGAGTAGTGGTCCCCTATTTTGCAAACCTTGAATGGTACAGGTTTCTCCAAGAATTTCCCTGCAGGAGTACGTCCCTGCTGAGGAGGAGCTTGCTTCAGGCCGACACGAGGCTGGAGTGCAAGGGCTTGAGATCGTGCGCCCTTCTCATGCAGCACCTCTCACTTCCGAGTACAATACTCCATCTTCCCATCTACCCTCAAAGCCCCACCCCTACACCCAAGACCCCTAAACCCTAAACCCTAAACCCTAAACCCTAAACCCTAAACCCTAAACCCTAAACCCTAAACCCTAAACCCTAAACCCTAAACCCTAAACGAAGAGGCATCCCTTGAAGCGAGAACGGCGGGGGTAGCCTCAGCCAAGCCTGCGCGCCACGGCCACGGTCGGGCCATGAGCTCAGCCGTCTTTCTGAAGGGGCTCCGGGAAAGCAAAGGGGTTTAGGGTTTAGGGTTTAGGGTTTAGGGTTCAGGGTTTAGGGTTTAGGGTTTAGGGTTTAGGGTTTAGCTCTTAGACCCTCTACATTCCACCCCACCCCCCTCTTCCCTTTCGGTGGAGGATGTAGGGATCAAGGATTTCATCCGTAGTTCCCCTTAGGAATTGCTTTTTTGGTTGCGCAAAACCCAAGGAGATCTCAAGCATGCAGCATACTGTATTTCTTTGAGGTTCTACGGGGAGTATAGTCAAGGCATGCAGCTCGTAGGAGTTTGTGTTCATGCCAGTAGCAGCAGCTCCGACACTAAAGTTGAGGGTCTCATCTCTCTGTCTTTTGGGATTCCCTTGCTGATGAATCCTACCATAGAAACAAGCACAACAACTGTCAGCTTGAACTGAGCCAACCTCACCTCCCCCCCCCCACATAATATAGGGGTCAGAATAAATACTAATAGAATTCCCCTATGGTCCCTTTATAATTACACTAGCATACCTCCCCCCCCAAAAAAAAAACATTCTAATGATTCAGGCCCCTATGGCCCCTACATTAGCGGGCAAGTGGGAAAGCACAAGTATGGAGTTACGAGTCGATTTATCATAACAAGGAACCCAGAGTAGGTCCTTATTGTTACTATTATTACTATTATCATTGTCATCATTATCATCATCATCATCATCATCATTGTATTATTATTATTATTATATTATGATTGTTGTTGTTGTTGTTTTGGGGGTTCGGGCGTCAGAGAAGGCCCTTTAAACCAAAAAGGCCCCAAACCCTACACCCCTAGACCGGCTTGTCACTGTTGCTCAGGCCTCTGCTGAGAGGAAAGAGGCTGGCAAGTTTGGGGCCGAGGGTTTCACGCAATGCCGCGAATTTCCCGCTGCTTGGGCTAGGGCTTAAGGTTTAGGATTTAGGGTTTAGCATTTAGGATTTAGGGTTTAGGGTTTAGGATTTAGGGTCCAGGGTTTAGGGTTTAGGGTTTAGTGTTTAGGGTTTAGGGTTTAGTGTGTTTGCTTGTTTGCTGCCTTTCTTGTTTGTTTGTTTGATTTTCATTGGTGGTGGTTGGTGGGGGGGGTAGGGGGCGTTTAGGGTTCAAATGTTGGGGGTTGAATTTGGTCTCTAGTTTCTATTGGGGTTAGAACCTTCAAATACGAAGGGCCAGGCACATCGGTAGGGTTTAGGATTTAGGGTTTAGGGTTTAGGGTTTGGGGTTAGGGTTTGGGTTTAGGGTTTAGGGTTGAGGGCTGTCAGGCCACAGAACCACTTCAGGGGGTTGAGGGTGTCTTGGGTTCAGGCCAACTCCGATACTTGGACGTATTCACCAATTTTAACTGTACTCATAGCCCACTCTAGGTAGGCCCTCTTGGGACATTTTATATTTTTCCCTTATTTGGGTGTAAGAGGATCATATTCAGGAATATCCTTTAGAGGGGTTTAGGGGCCATCCGAGCACTTATAAGCCCCTTAAGTGCCCTAACATGGTTATAAGTACAGTTATAAGTTCAGATATCATTGGTTAATAAGCACCATGAACCTCCAAGTAGTGCCACTATAAAAGGGCTCCCAGTCAAGAGCGTACGAATTTTGGGAAACGTCTGGCATATGCCTTATGAGCATGTCCTTGAATGAAGGGCCTTATAAGCATCTCCTTGATTCAAGAGTTTCATCTACCTTTTTTTTGCCCTAAACCCTAAACCCTAAACCCTAGAAACCATAAACGGCCCAGGGTTATAGGGCAGGCTTTCGGTGCCTGTGGCTGTGCGCGCCAGACGTTCGACCTCGTCTTCGACGACTTTGAGCCCGTCTGGGCCGCGGATCCAGACATGGAGGTCAGCTTAGGGTTTAGGGTTGAGGGTTGAGGGTTTAGGATCGAACTCCTCCCCAAAATCAAGTGGTTAATATACTCCTAATGTGTCCTTATATTACCCCAGGAATCTCTAAAAAGGGTCCCAATCATCAAGGGTACCATCTAACAAAGGGGTCCAAGGTAAAGTCCCCCCAAAACCTGAAAACCCTAAACCCTAACCTCCCTCCAAAATATTTAGGGGGCCCAGTGTGGGCCCTGAATTTGGATCCTTTGTACAACCCTTGCCTACACTATAGATCATAAGGGCCCATACTTCGGATCCCTTGAAACAAGGGTAAGGGACCATACAGGGGGCCCATGGTTCCGACCTTAGATTGAAGACCCTAAACCCTAAAGCCTAAAGCCTAAAGCCTAAAGCCTAAAGCCTAAAGCCTAAAGCCTAAAGCCTAAAGCCTAAAGCCTAAAGCCTAAAGCCTAAAGCCTAAAGCCTAAAGCCTAAAGCCTAACCTAAAGCCTAAAGCCTAAAGCCTAAAGCCTGAAGCCTGAAGCCTGAAGCCTAAAGCCTAACGGGGGGGCTTCAGAGGGGCAGCTTCCGACCTTCGAGAAACTGCTCCAGGAGCCGCTCCCTCCGCACCTGGCGCCCCGGCGCCAGCGCCGGGCATCGGAGCCCACGAGCCGGCCGGGGCGGCAACGGGGAAGAGGCCGCTTTTGTGTTTTTTTTTTTTTTTTTTTTTTGGGGGGGGGGGGGGGGGGGTTAGGGTTTTTTGTGTACATTTTCAGGAGTTTTGTATATGTTTTGTGTTTAATGTGTTTTTTTCGGCTTTTTATACGCTGTTTATGAAGTATGGGGTTTTTACAGGGTTTATACTTGTAGAGTTGATAGGTCTTATAGGGTTTCAGGGCTATGGGGTTTTAGGGTTTAGGGTTTCAGGTCGTCGGGTTGTCGGGTTGTACATGGGGTTCAGAGGGCATCATACAGGCGAACATTGTAGGGTTGCAGAGAGTTTGGGTTTGGGTGTTTCGGGGGTTGTTGCTGCTGCTGCTGCCGCTGCTGGAGCAGTAGCTGCGGCATGTGTCAGTTTGCTGCTCCAATGCTCGCCTGAGTGATTGCGGGTCAAGAATTGTGTGCTTGCATGGTGCACTCTCAGTCTCTTTCAGCTCAATCTAGGACCCAGACTTTTTTAAGGGTTCCGCTTCCCTTATAAGCCCCTTTAAACCCAAAAGGGCACTTTTTTATTCCTTGGTTACTCTTGGGTCTAAAAATTTTTATTGTCCTAAACCCTACAGCCTATATGCCTAAGCCCTAAACCCGAAACCCCAGGCCGTTGCCCGGTCTCCCTTCTCGACGTGCCGGACGTGCCCACCAGCATGGCAAGCGGCAGCGATGCCGAAGGCATAGGCGGGCGACATGAAGATCGAACATCCTAGTGGCCAGTGGTTCGGGTTTAGGGTTTTCGGGTTTTAGGGTTTGAGGGTTTAGGGTTTAGGGTTTAGGGTATATTTCGGGTTTAGGGCTCAGGGTTCAGGGTTCAGTGGTTTGGTGTTAGGTATGCTGCCTCTGCTGCATAGGTCGTTTAGGGTCTTTTGGGGAGTCACAGCATGCTTCTTCGCAGTTTTGGGCTCATGTATGGTCTCAGACATTCGAGAGTCTGGGTTCAGGGTTTAAGGGTTAGAGTTTCAGGTTTAGGGTTTAGGGTTTAGGGCTTAGGGCTTAGGGCTTAGGGCTTAGGGCTTAGGGCTTAGGACAAATAGCAGCTTTTCAGGACTACGCAGAGATCAGGGCTGTGTAAGTGCAAGCCCACGTGTGCTGTTCAAGGAAGGAATCCCGGCCTTTTTAGCGTCGCTACAAGGACCCCCCCCCCCCCCCCCCCCCCCGAAACCCTAAGCCCTAAACCCTAATATAAACCCTAAACCCTTAACCCTTAACCCTAAACCCTAAACCTCAAACCCTAAACCCTAAACCTGACTCCCTTGTCCGGCTCTCTATGTTCGGAGCCGTGAGCCTTTAGTATGGTCTTACCCTCGTTTAGAGGGATCCGAAGTATGGGCCCTTGATATATAAAGTGTTTGTAAGGCTTAGACAACAAGGGACCCAAATTAAGGGACCCATACTTGGGACCCTAGCTTCACCACCAAGCCCTAAACCCTAAACCCTGAGCCCTAGCCCTAAACCCTAAACCCTAAACCCTTAAACCCCTAAGCCACAAGGCAGCTGGCAACCTGACGCTGGATTAGACCTTTGCCCGGACGAACTTCTTGGAGTGGGAGGTGCCTTGTATGCAGCTCCCAAGGCTGCCAAGGGTTTAGGGTTTGGCGTTTAGGGTTTGGGGTTTAGGGTTTAGGGTTACTCAGCAGTTGGCTCAGGGGAAGGATCTACTGGACTGCCCGCTTCCGGCAGTAAGTTGCGTGCGGCTAGTTCTTTAGTGTTCATGTCTGCGGGGATTAGGCTTTCTATGTTTATGTGGGCTTATATTCTTCCTTTTGGTCTACTTTCTTTGGTGTGTAGCTGCTGTATCAGCAGCACGAAAGTTCTCCTATCAGCACTGCACATGCTCCTCGCTCTGTCGCTGCCTAACGTCCCCAATTAGGAGGTACTTTAAGGCCCAAGTCTTCCCTATTTAGGTACATGGACCCTTAGGGCAAGGGCCCTAAACCCTAAACCCTCAACCCTAACCCCATGGACACTTAGGGTAAGCGCCCGACGCCTTTGAGCCCGCAGCAGAGGTGTCCAGCTGCAGCGGGGTGTGGACCATGAGGAGAGGTCCGACAGCGACACGGAGAGCCTGGGCCTTCCTCTCACACTGGAGGAAGGCGCCATTGACATCTTCCCTACCACACTTAAGAGGTTCCGGGTTTAGGGTTTAGGCTTTAGGGCTTGTAGGACTTAAGGTTTAGGGCGTATTGTTTTGTAGGATTTAGGGCTTGTAGGACTTAGGGTTTAGGGTGTAGGGTTTTGTAGGATGCAGGGTCAGTAGATAAGGTATGGGTTCCGTAAGAATGCTTCTTGAAGTCATGTCCTTGGGCTGTGACATGAGGAAGTACGGCGAGAAGCTTGAACATGTATCCCTCTTAGGGTACTCAAAAGGGCCCTGAGTGTGGGCCCTTAATTGGGGACCCTTTTGTGTGCATGCGTCTGCGTCTGTGGGTCTGTGTGCTTGTAGGCTTGCGTGGTTGCAGTACCTACGTGTAAAACACGATTAAGTTTTCGGGTGTAGGCTTGAATTCTCGTCTGGGCTTGGGCACTCCAGGGCACGCCTGGGCACTCCAGGGCACTCGGAGAGAAGTTTAGTGTAGAAACTAACAACTCCACACCGAGGGTGGCGAATAAGCCTTTGCCGCCCTTTCTACAGTATCAGCGGATTGCGCAAACAACCTCTTCGGAAAGTACAGTACCCTGACTATCATTCTTACTAAGGACTGTTACGATAACGGGGGCCATCCCAACATTAAACCCTAAACCCTAAAACCCTAGCCCTAAACCCGCCAGTCGCAGGCCTTCACGAGCTCGCCTCCGATGAGGGGGAGGCGTCCACGGAGTCCGCAGACGACGCTCGGGACCTGAACCCAAACCTAGAAGCCCTGTATAGGGTTTAGAGTTTTAGGGTTTAGGGTTAGAAGTTATAAGCCCTATACGTCCTATGAATCTAAACCCTCTAAACCCCATAGGCCATGCGACCTATCAACCCTGAAAAAAAACCCTCAAGCCTTATAAGCCCCACAAACCCCATAAACCACATACAACCTGTACAGTATGCCCTAAACACTCAACCCTGCAAACCCTCAAGCATTGTTACGTTCATTGTTAGGCGGATGCTGGAACACCTGCTGCGCTGTTTGTTTTTGTGTTTATGTTTGTTGTTCTTTTTGTGGGGAGGGGGGGCCTCCTCCGTTTGTTTGAACTTTCCTGAGCCTTAAACCCCACACCTCCAACCCCATACGAGTATTTGCTTAAGAACCCACAAACAAGAAAAGACAACCATCCCTCCATTGCCCTTATATTGAAGATGTTTTTTTTTGGGGGAGGGTCTCAAGCAATTTGTACTGGGATGTTCCCCCTTAGACTAGCAGACCTTGATTGAGATTATAGTACGCCCTACTATAATCCCTATTAGGGACTTCAGAATTAAGGACTTAAGAATTAAGGACTTAAGAATAAAGGACTTAAGAGGGAACATCCCAGAATTCGTTGTATAGGCTTGAGGATTACCGTTCTGGAGGGTGTTACAGGGCCTTCTGGGGAGGAGAGCTGGCCGGGGGGTTCATGGGGTGTAGGTACCTAGGGAAGCTTAGGGAAGCTGAAAGGGAGGTCTTAGGGAGTAGTGGGGAGCATTAGCTACCCTTGGGTTGCATACCCCCCTTGACCCCCCTCCCTTAAGAAACCTATAAGTTTATGATTTGTTAATACTGCAATGCTGCCATGCACTTTCAAGACACAGCAGATAAGCTTGCAGGGCCCTCCACCCCCAAAAGTCCCAGCCCGAATCGTCAAAGCTTGATTTATTGCGCCCTCGCCGGAGGACTAAAATCATAAACCATAAAACCCTAAACACTAAACCCTAAACCCTAAACCCTAAACCCTAAACCCTAAACCCTACTGTAAACCCTACTGTAAACCTTAAGCCTAAACCCTAACGCTGCAGGCCACTACCAGCAGAGAGTCCGCAGAAGGGGCTGCCGTAGAAGGCCGGGGGGGTGTGAGCAGGGCAGGCCGCTGGGCGGCGGTGGGGGGGGGGGGGGGGGGGGGGAGGTTTGGGCTGTAGGGTTTAAGGCTTTAAGGTTTAGGGTTCAGGGTTTACATTTAGGGTTTAGGGTTTAGGGCTAGACAAGTTTTGGCTTTCATGTCGGGCTTGGGGCTTGGTTTCGGCTGGATGTCTGCGAAGATTGCAAAAGGGCTGCGAAGATCTACCCCACCCTGAACCCTAAAGCCCAAACTCATGTTGCTCTTTCGGGACTTAGAGCCCTAAACCCTAAACCCTAAACCCTAAACCCTAAACCCTCTGAGCTCCCTTTTTTCCGATCCCTTGCGCTGCGCTCAACCTGATGCTTGAACCGGGATGAGACTAGCTAGGGGCGTCTGGGGTCTAAACCCTAAACCCTAAACCCTAAACCCGGGTTTGGGGTTTAGGGTTTGGGGTTTAGGTTTTGGGGTTTCGGGTTTAGGGTTTGGGGTTCGGTGTTTATGGCCGGTTTAGGGTGCAGGTAAAGGGTTTATAGGGCTTCCGGGCATGATTGGGTTTGTAATTAGGGCTTTCGCAGCTCGCAGGGCTTTTTGAGTTCTTGCACAGGGGTTTAGGGTTTAGGGTTTAGGGTTTAGGGTTTAGGGTTTAGGGTTTAGGATTTAGGGTGGTCGGGCTTCCATCTACCGTGACAGGACCCACGAGCTCCCGCTCGAGCGCGCTGGCCACATCCCAGATTCAAATTCGGCTAGATGCCTCCCATGGCACCTCTGCTGAGCAACAGGATTCGACGCTGAGTTGGAGGTTGAGGGTCCCCCAAAACCCTAAACCCTAAGCCATACAAACCCTGAACTCGAAACCGTTTCCTGCTACTAATTGTCTAAGAGCCCCCCAAAAAATCAGAAAAAAACAACATCAAAAGTATTCTTACTTATAAGGTAAATGTAGGGATTATTATGTTGTATTTGTTCAGAAGGCTGCATTGGCCCTGTCAGAGAGCCAGAGCGATTTTTGTTAATCCCCAAACCCCAAACCTTAAACCCTAAACCCCAAGCCCTCAGCCCTGAACCCTGACTCAACAACCCCAAGCAGCCGCCAGCCTAACCTAAGCCCTAAACCCTAAACCCTAAACCCTAAACCCTAAACCCTAAACCCTAAACCCTAAACCCTAAACCCTAAACCCTAAACCCTAAACCCTAAACCCTTGTCCGGCCTTCTTACATGCTGGTTTCATGGGATAAACCCAACTTCGACACCTCTTCAGAGTAGGAACCTCTCCAAGTCACATCTGGGGTAGGGTTTAGGGTTTAGGGTTGAGGGTTTAGGGTTTAGGGTTTAGGGTTTAGGGTTTAGGGTCTAGGTTGGGATGTTCCCCCTTATGCTGACAGTCCCTTATTGGGAGTATAGTGCCCCCTATTACACAAGGTTTAGGGGTGTAGGGTCTAGGGGTTCGGGTGTGTTTGTTTGTTTCATAAAATTTTAGGGTTATGGGGGGGCCCTAGGGTTGTGGGAGCTTGTTTCAGGAGATTTCAAAAGCTTCATTGACTCCATAAATCTTGCGGGAGTTCTCAAAATGAGGGTTCGCCTTGTAGTTGTACTGGAAACCCTACAAGGGACATACCCTAAACCCTAAGCCCTAAACCCTAAACCCTAAGCCCTAAACCCTAAACCCTAAACCCTAAACCCTAAACCCTAAACCCTAAACCCTAAACCCTAAACCCTAACCCCTAACCCCTAAACCCTAAACCCTAAACCCTAAACCCTAAACCCTAAACCCTAAATCCTAAACCCTAAACCCTAAACCCTAAACCCTAAACCCTACCTAAGCCCTGAACCCCAATTTAGCGAAGTGACCAGATGATGCTTGCAAAGCCTGCCTGGTTCATACCCAGCTTTTTTCCAAGGCGTTGATCTTCGAGACTCGCGGCCTCTCGTCCGAGGCCCCATTTCCACTCTTGCACATGTGCAAGCCGAAGCACTAAACTTCTAGGGTTCTTACGGGAGGGGAGTAGGTACCTAGGGCACCTTTGGGAAGCTTAGGGAGTAGTAGGGAGTAGTAGGGAATCTTGGGTTACATATCCCCTTTTGAACCCCTCTCCTTTAAGAGCTCTATAATAAACCCGAGGCTCTCAACCCTGAGAGCTGCCTCGAGGCCCTTTTTGGGGTCTAGGGTTTAGTGTTTAGGGTTTGGGGTTTAGGGTTTAGGGATACTGTGGGGTGTTACGCCAATCCTGAGTCCTGCAGCCGCACCATGGCGCAGGTCAAGTTTTGGCAGATTCCAGTGGCTGTGGCGCGGGCCAATTCCCCTGGGAGGCGCGGTGGGAGCCCTAAACCCTAAACCCTAAACCCTAAACCCTAAACCCTAAACCCTCAAAAGAATAGCTCTCGAGGCTTTAGGTAGGCTTTGGAGGTTCGGGGCTGATGACTTCGGGTAAACCAAACCAAAGAAGAGACCCCTCTCCAAGTTCGAGCATCCCCACCGCGCCCCTAGAATCCTAAACCCTATAAACCCTAGAAACCCTGTAAACCCTGTAAACCCTACAAACCCTACAAGCCCTACAAACCCGAACCCCTAAAAGCCAACTGCAAACTCAACCGCAAGGTGGGTACACTCAATACAAGCCTTGAACCTAGTTTTGAGCCCAACACTTCTGAAACCGATAAACGCCTTTCTGAAACCGGTAAACTCCTGAACCTAAACCCTAAACCCTAGACCCCAAACCCCAAACCCCAAACCCTAAACCCTAAACCCTAAACCCTCGTGACCCTAGGGCCGCGAGAGCGCCTCGCAGACGAATGCCTTCCGGTCGTCCCGGAGGTCGGTGGCAGTCGTACAAAGGTTCTTGGTGGTGGCAGGGCCGGGGGGGGTCCTGAATTCACCCCCAAGAGTCCGTGTACCCAGGGTTTAGGGTTTGGGGTTTGGGGTTTAGGGTTTGGGGTCAAGGGTTTGGGGTTGAGGGTATCGGGTTTAGGGTGTTTGGCGCTGTGAGCGTGTTGCTTTGGGGTTAAGGCTTCAGAGGTTTTTGGTTGCTTTGATCTGGGAACAGCGGGGGGGGGGGGACCCTAAACCCTAAACCCTAAATCCTAAACCCTAAACCCTAAACCCTAAACCCTAAACCCTACTTTTGGGGAATTGATGAGGGCAAGATTGGGTTCGAGGCTTGCAGTTTTTGCGCAATGCTTTCTGGGCATATGCGCTTTCTAGGCTTTAGCTACAAACCATTGCTTAGAGGCTGCACTTGTTGCTTTTGTTGATGGTTCTGAGGTTTAGGGTTTAGGGGTTGGGGCTTCCGGGCCTCAGGGTTTGGAGACGTCAGGCTGCGCCTGAAACCACAGGCTAACCTCCCCAACACCTAACCCAAACCCCTCAATCCGAACCCTAAACCCTAAACCCTAAACCCTAAACTCTAAACCCTAAACCCTAAACCCTAAACCCTAAACCCTAAACCCTAAACCCTAAACCCTAAACCCTAAACCCTAAACCCTAAACCCTAAACCCTAAACCCTAAACCCTAAACCCTAAACCTTCCAACTATCCTAAGCAAAAGGCGCCCCTCTCTGGATCCAGCTACGCCGGAGCCGCGGCGGCGGCAGAGCGCAGTCGAAGCCGGCACGTGACTTGCCAGAGCCAGAGGCTCTACCTAGGGGAGGGTTTAGGGTTCAGGGTTCAGGGTTCAGGGTTTAGGGTTTAGGGTTTAGGGTTTGTAGGAATTTTTTATTTTTGGAAGTTTTTGCCCAAAGCTCTACTTTCCGGAATCTTCATGAGCTTCATTTCTTGCATATTTTCGCCCTCAACCCTACACCCAAAGAACCCAAAGACACAAAGTGGGATCCCCAAGGAAGGCAAGCCTTGTATCTACCACCTGAAGGCCCCAAACATTTAGGGTTTAGGGTTTAGGGTTTTGGGTTTTGGGTTTTGGGGGCTCTACTTTTTGGATAAATTCTCTAAATTGAGGTCCCGTTTAGGGGGTCCTCCTTTCAAGGTGCCGTATTATACATCTACGACCCGAAAGGGGACCCCAATTGAGAGAGCTACTCATTTGGGGGCTTTTTTCATAGGTTCCCCTACTTCCTCCCTCTCTACTACTCCCCGTTGGCTCCCCCCAAAAAAATTAAGGCTAATTAGGGATAATTAAGCCTAATTAAGGTTACTGAAGGGGGGAACCTAGGGGGGTAGTATAGAGGTGGGCAGCAGGGAAACCATGATGTTAGGGCTCCCCTTCCCAGCACCCTACATAACCCTAAACCCTAAACTTTAAACCCTAAACTTTAAACCCTAAACTTTAAACCCTAAACTTTAAACCCTAAACACTAAACCCTAAACCCCAAACCCTAAACCCTAAACCCTAAACTCTAAACTCTAAACTCTAAACCCTACCCTGCATGCTAAGGACCCTGGTTCGCGAGCCCACACGAGCCCGGCGAGCATCTTCCAAGGATGCCAGTGCCTCTGGCAGCTCCAAAGAGTTTAGGGTTTAGGGTTCAGGGTTCAGGGTTCAGCGTTCAGGGTTCAGGGTTAAGGGTTCAGGGTTTAGGGCTTAGGGTTTGGGGTTATGTATGGTTTTTGGTTTAGGGCTTAGGGTTCAGGGTTTGGCGTTTAGGGTTTAGGGTTATTATATATGGTTTCGGCACCATATGTCCGAAACCCCACAAGCGTTGGGGTTTAGGGTTTAGGGTTCAGAGTTTAAGGTTTAGGGTTAGGGTTTGGGATGCAGGGTTTAGTGCTGAGGGAAATTCAGGG